TTGTGATTTCAGATATTAGTATGTTCATTATAATCTGATACAAAATAAATTGACTATTTTACTTATATATACATATATATTTATAACTCATAATAAACTCATAATATATATCATTTAATTTAATTTATTAAGTTGAAATTGAAATTGAAAATATATAATATCTACATTGGTTCTGGGTAATGTATGGTTATATGTGAGACTGTGACTGCACGTCAGTGAGTCTCAATACGATTCGGAGTATCTTAACGCCGCAATTCAGAAAATAATGTAATTTGTACAATGCCATCTATTACGTTCGTTGTGAGAAAACTTTTTTAATTTAAGGAAAACATATTTTTTATTGTTTACTTTGTTTTAAGTATAAATATATTATTATAGAACGTTTTTTTACACACAAATCTTTTTATTACTTTTTCTGAGATTTTATGGCGCCATTGAACAAATTAGAACCTACATTTTAAACTAATAATCATAACTTTCGATAAAATTAACCAAATTTAATAAAACAAAAATTAAATGTAACTTGAAGATACGCTTTATGATTTTCCTAACGATTTCTTTTTAAAAAAAATGTTTACTTTAGATGTGATGCGTTTATAAACAAACAGACAGACAGACAATTCTAAAAATATAAAAATGTGTTTACTTAATTATTTTCATTTCCCTATAATGATTTTAGTGACAAATATTCTATATAATGTACAAAAACACAACATGTTATCACCATTTTTATTATAAGTATATATTTAAAGAGGGATGGCGCTGCTAACAGCAATCAATTCTAAAAATAAAAGAGATTAATTGACGCGATTGGTACATTATTATATATATAAAAGATAAAAGAACTTATAAACCAGTGTCTGCATAGCAAGCAAAACGCTTTTTATAGTACATTTGGACCATACCGTCATCTATCGATGAAATTGGTTAACTATTTCACTTTAGATTTAGTTAATAAGGTTATAATATATTTTTGTACATTATTTTATTTAATACGTTCTTTAATACTTTTGTTTACTGCGTTTTAGATATAATTATATAATTATAGAACATTATTTTACCTAATTATGATTTATGATATAGTATTAGTTTAAAATGCACTTGATGACTCAACCAACGCCACCGTTGAACAAATTCGTACTTATACTTCGTATTCATACTTCAGAATATTTATCATAACTTTTGATTGAATGAACTGATTTTAATAAAATAAAGACTAAATGTAACACGAAGATACACTTTATATTTTCCTTAACGATTCTTATGATATAAATTAGTACTTTATACGTGATACGTTAACAAACAAACAGACAGACAGACAGACAGACAGAAAATTCTAAGAATGATAGAAATGTATTTAGTTACTTATTTTTAGTACCCCTCAATCACTTTTGTTACAAAAATATAAAATGTACAGACGTCTGCTTTTTACATTTTTATTATATGTATAGATGACCCATGTTTTATTCGAAATATTTATTTATTTATAACAGTGCTGTTAACTAGGTAGCAGAATATGCGTTGGAATAGATTACCTTAACTTTTACTACGTGGTAGAGCCAAGCTGTAGCTATATTTACAATATAGTTGTAGCACGAATGGGTCGGCTCGACTGGGGAAGGACCACACTCTCACAGAATACCAGCGTAAAATAGCAGTTTAAAGCTGCTGTCTTTCGTAATGAGAGTATAGACAACTAGAGACCCTATTTACTTGAAAAGAGGCATTCCATTTTAGTACTCAAAGCTGACAACGTATCTGTATTTTGATTCGCAAACGGGGATAGATATAGATGTCCACACCACTTACCATCAGGTGGACTGTGTGTTCCTTTGTCAATCTATTTCTATAAAAAAAAGCAATTTAATAAATATTTTTAGGTTAAGATATATATTGCTATGGGCCAATGTTCTTAATTTTTAAGTCCTTGATGCCTGAAATAAAGTTATTGTATTGTATTGGCTACTTTAACTAAATCTAGTCTTTATTAACACGTCAACCGGATAATTATTATTCTATGAATTAACAGTTAACCACATACTATAAAACTAGGTTTCTTTCCTTAACCTTGAATCAGGGCTTGGATAATGGTATATTTTTCGAAACGTTTTCGCCTTAAATACCGAAAAACTTATTTGTTTCGATTATGTTCGAGCGGAATCATAATAAAAACGTTTATGATGAGAACGAAATATTAAATCGTTATTGTTCAGTAAAAACTTTTTAAACATTTTCAACAGCTTTTTCCCATTTTTTTTGGCCCTGCAATACGAAACAAAAATACCATATAGGTTTAAACATGTCGTGGTACGAGCCATTCATTTAGCTTCCTGCGGAATAAACCGTTTTTTTTACGTTTTCACATTACGTTCTCATTTCATTTTTGTTCCGAACAGAATGTTATATAAGGAACCGTCCCAAACGTTTTAAAAACGTTATTTTTAATAACATTTCCGAGCCCTACCTTCAATAGGTAGGTAGGAAAACGATTTATGGATTTATTGAAATTATTTACTAGTCCTATCGGGACACTTTTTCTGCCTCTTAGAAGTGCGTCAGGGTAAGTACTCGCTTCTTATCTGCCAAATAGCAGTGCTTGCACTGCTATATTCGATCTGTAGAGTGTAGACACCCAGTATAATTACAGGCGAGGTGACAACGCCTCTGTAGTCTTCTTTGTTTGAAGTTGCCTGCAGGTGTGTGTGGACCGCAATAGCCAATTACCATCGGGTATACTGTAAGTTCGTTTGCCACGTCAGTATTATAAAAAATGATGCAAAATGATGTTGTGACCATCCTGATCAAGGTGGTAAGAAAGGAATGCTTCGTTGGTTTAGTCATGTAGAAAAAATGAACGAGAACAAGAGTGACAAAGCAAATTTATGTTGCAGTAGTGAACGGCAGAGTCAGAAAGGGTCGCTCTAGATGAAAATTTATCGACCAAGTTGGCGATATATTGCAGATGGGTCAGATTAAGAGTACCCTTAAGTGATGAGCATGTATGCGTATGTACGCGTTTATGTATGTAAAAGAGGCGGGAGAGGTGTGTCAAGACCTCTCTGGGTGACAGGCATTTAGTAAGTTAAGCGCATTTATGCACCCTCACGTACTTCCTTAACTTCCCGGCGGGGCTAACATCAAATAACTTTTCGAACTTAAGTAATAAGTGTAGAACTATTTTTTTTATAGGATAAGGGCGACAAACGAGCACATAGTCCACATGATGGTAAGTGGTTGCTGTGGCCCATAGACATCTACATCTATCTTCGATTGAGAATCAAACTGCAGATGCGTTGTCACCCGTGAGGACTGAGATGGAATACCTCTTTTCCAGTAAAAGGCGCTCCGATTCTGTACACTCACCATACGAAACACAGCAGCGTTAAGCTGATATTTTACGCTGGTATTCTGTGAGAGCGTGGTCCTTCGATCGGTCGAGCCGACCCATTCGTGCTACAACCATAATATAGTTGCAGCGTGGCTCTAACACGTAAAAAGATTATTTTTATTCACACATAGTCATCTATTAGAATTTCTCGCACCATTGGCATTTCCTCCAGTCTCTGGTCTACACCATTTATGTACATCTGGTATATACGAAATGGTTATATCATCTATCAGAGGCCATAAAATCTTTTATGGTCTCTGATAGATGCCTATTACGACATCCATAATATGTTGTCCCTCGTGAGAAGCAGATAGTGGACATTGTGTTTTTTTCAAATTTGGAATGACTGGGTACAAACATCACGCTTTACTAACGGCTCATCCATCATAGTGCCAGTAATTTGGTAATTTTTTACGCGGTACAGCCGTGCTGCGTCCATGAAGGTCCACGCGCACACAGAATACCAGCGTAAAATAGCAGCTTTATGCTGCTGTAATTCGTGTGGTGAGTGCAGTGAACCGGAGATCATGGAAACGAGACATTCCTTATTAGTCCTTAGGAGTGACAACGTATTTGCATTTTGATTCTTAATCGAGGATAGATGTAGAAGTCAAGGTCACAGCATTCTCTTACCATCAAGTAGACAGTTTACTCGATTGTTACCCTTATTCTTAAAATAATATATTTGTTGTTTCAGTCGGGAATTTATAATCCAACCTTATTACATCTAGCTCTGGTACGACGTAGATGAAGCTTGCGACACCCACGGGACGAGATGGGTTGATGGATTGATTATATTATGTACGTTATGATCATCTGTGACCACTGTAATGATTAGTTTATATTTAGACGCAAACTACACGTAAAATAAAATTACTTTTACGGGTTTTATTTGACACGTTTTTAATTCATGACAGTTTTTCTTTAGCATAAAAAGGAAATTTAACCGACGACCGATAAATGTATATTTAAATGAAGGTTATATTCAAATTTTGTGTTAAATTTTGTATCATTAAAATTGCAGTTAGATAACGTAAAGCATAACGTATTTATAAGTATATGAAATTATATTATTTCATGTACTTATAGTATATGAAATTATAATACATAAAATTTAAAATAAATTTAAAGTTTTATGTTTAGAAAAATTTTAGTTTTATGTTTAAAATAAATTTAAAGTTTTATGTTTTGTGTTTAGTGTTTAATATTAAAAGGTGTCGAGGTAGACCGAGACTAACTTTCGAAGACCATGTGAGCAAATTGCTCGAAGAGGGTAGGGTCAAGAGTACTCGGATACCTAGACGTGCATGTATGAAGAAGATAATGAATCTGAAAGAAGCGAAAGAGGTATGTAAGGATCGTGACACTTGGCGATCTGTTCTCTCTGGCTACCCCGTCAGGGATTGTGCGTGAAGATAAGAAAGAAATGTTTAGAGTGCTTGAGGGATGAGTGTAAAATATTTTACATAGACAATATTAATTTCCTCATAAACGTTTTAAAAACGACATACTACCTGGTTCATAACTTTATAATCGTTAGCAACTTAGGGCATGAGAATATCGTATACGAAACAGCCGCGAAATAGTTCACGTTTTTCAAATTCATACTTACGGTTTTGTCTAGAAGCCAGCTGGCTGGGAAAATGAGGGGGATGTAAGTGATCATGTATATCATCGAGGTCCAGTAGACGGTGATGCTGCTTACGCCGTAGTACTTCACCACTGCATCTTGTATGATGCTGTACTGTATCCATTGCATGGAATTTGATGCCGAGTAGAGAACGAAGATGAACAGCACCAACCATCTGATCGGATAGACGGTGTACTCCGTTGGTGGTTTTTTGGTTGGTGACTCCAGCACCCCACCTTTCTCCGCCATACCGTCCATCACGCTTCCACTTACTTCTATATTCTTAGATTCGCTCATTTCAATCTTCTTTTAAATCTTTTAATTTTTAGAATTTAAATTTATATTGTCAGTTATTATTGGCGCTGTTGCGTTATATTTTGGCAAGTTATTGGCACTATGTATTTGTTTCATAAATTATAAAAGTAATACATTCATTAAGATGCGTCGATAGAATTTAAAACTATTATTGTCAAATTTACGCACGCGCGGTTTTTCCACGGCGCGTGGAGGACGAGATGCCGAGTGACCCGCGCGGTGTTCCGCAGTCGACTGTGTTGTGATTGTGTCTGTTTTCCTTCAATGAGAGGCTGAATGGAACACTTCCTGCGCACCCTTCGTCCGCTTTACGTGATGATAACAATGATACGCGCCTAGACTGACTGTCTCAGTGTCGAATGAGGACGATTATGTGTTGATTTATCCTTACTTGTATGTATGATGTTAGGAAGTCAATTTTTTATTTTGATTACGATAGCTCCTATCCGTAAATGATAGGTCCGTGGCGTAGTGAGCTAGCATTAAGTTGCAGCGACGAGGGCCACAGACTCGTATCAAGCACGGGGTAAGTACTTGTATGACCTACAATTAATTTTTCCGTGACTAGATGTTGGTGCTTGTGCAATGTAAACGTATGTAAACTGCCTCGGGAGAAAATCCTGGTGTGGAGGTTCTTAGAGTAAGGTTTAAAAAATTAGAAAACACCTTTCTGTATTGAAATTAGGATTTTTCTTATTGGCAATAGCCTCGCGAATTATAGTTAGCGGGATTCTGTGATCTGATTTCTGTGATCCAGATTCTGTGATCTGGATGTGATTTCTGTGATCTGTGAGGATTTGTGGTCTATGTAATCTGAAGCTATCTCGGGCCGAATCCTGCACATGTTCATAGATTTCAGTAGGAGAATTTTCACTTATATAATCTTCTATACGGGTTTTTATTAGAGTCAAGCTGCAGTTATATTGTGGATGTAGCACGAATGGGTTGGCTCGACTGGGTTAGTACCACGTTCACATAGAATACCAGCGTAAAATAGCAACTGAATGTTGCTGTGTTGTAGAGAAACGGAGACCCTTTCTACTGGAAACGAGGCAGTCCTCAACGGTGACAACGCATCTGCTTTTTGATTCTTAATTGAAGATAAATGTAGATATCTATAGGCCACATCATTTACTTGACTGTGTTGTCGTTTGTCACCCATATCATATAAAAAATATAAAAAAAATATTCTTCCTTGGACTATGTATGTGTGGTCTACATTTGCAATCAAAAATGTTCATCAGTATCGTCCATAATATATATATATATGTATATATATACATATATATAATATATATATGTATATATATATATATATATATATATATATATTTTAAACAGGGAGAATGCAAAATGGAGAATGGAAGAGCATAGCAATTAACAATAAGGTTACTAATTAGTTACAAAGAGTAACTAATGAAGGCAGGATTCCATATAAATTTGTAATTGCTGTCTGTAATATAGAATTAGCTAATTAAGATAGATGAATACAACTATAATAAGGCTTAAATTGTTTACTAATTTGTAAAGGACATATATAATAAATACTTCAAGAAATTTTAATACTAAAAAACTTCAAATCCCGTGCAAAGATACAGCAGTTTACGGCGTGTCATCATAATTTTTTGGAGCAATTCATATCGTACAAATTGTTGGTACCAGTAATTTCAGGATATTCGCATTATTCCTTTGTTGACATATATTAAATCATACCAGTTAAGACTTCTCTTTGTCGGCTTAATGCATATAACAAAGGAGAAAAATCAAACTTAAAAAAGTAAAAGCCGACTTCAAAGAAATTAAACGAACAAAATAATTGTAATGTAAATTAGCAAAATAATTACAACGTAATGGCTTCAGAAATCTGTGGTATGACATTTTTGGAACGAAGTTCCTTATCGCACGGTACGTATTTGGCAGATGGGGGCTAGGCGAGAAAAAGTGTAAGATTTTTCCGTCACGACCCTTTCTATAGTGCGAGGGAGATGGAATAATATCCATCTCCCTCGCACTTTTTCTTATCTTGTCATGGAAGAAATGTTATTTTAAATGACGCTGCATTTTAAAAGGCGCTATTATATCATTTATTTATATTTGTTAATCAACAATATTAAACGTTTATCAATAATAATATACTACGAAAGGAACTTCGTTTCAACCGAATGTTCCACGACAGTCACGCATGTATTTTATTTATTTTTTTATTTACAATAACAAAAATTCATATTCTACATAATTCATAAGTACCTACAGTGCAACATAAACCTATATAAGATTTTTCTGCACACTGCAGTTCGCCGTCTTTCGAGCGTAAACATATTAATATTACTTAGAGTAAGAAGGTAGTTAAGCTCTATAAAAATAACATAGACGTACCGAAGTATTGAAACACCGACTTCAAAAGCTACTATGTGGAAATTATTACATTCTTTTTAGATCATAGAAGTTGGCTTTTACTTTAGAATAAATGTCCCTTTTTAAGGTTCCTTACCCAAAGGGTAACCAACGGGACCCTATTACTAAGCTCCCGCTGTCCGTCCGTTAGTTCGTCTGTCTGTCAGTGGGCTATATCTCATGATCCGTAATAGGTAGACAGTTGAAATTTTGTGTATTTCTGTTACTGCTATAACAACAAATAATAAAAATTTAAATAAATTCAAAATTAAAAGGGGACTCCCTTACTAGAAACGTGTATTACGATGGTACGGAACCCTTCATGCGCGAGTCCGACTAGCACTTGGCCGGTTATTTTAATCCTTTTGAGTAGTTATAACTATCGAACAAGCTCAAATATTGTCCAAAATAGTTACATTAAAAAAATCATCTCTTATATTTCAACCTTGCGGGTGGAATATAAAAGAATCATTAAAATCGGTTCATAATTGGAGAATATATCGCGTAACATACATATAAAACAAAGAAGAAAGTACAGTCGAATTGAAAACCTCCTTTTTAAGTCGGCTGAATATAAAATAACTTGCCAGTGTCTGTCTTGCTATCCAATTAAAATGGGGGTGACTTCGTTGACTTCATAACTAAACAAAACAAAATTTAACTGCCATTTATATTCCATGACTTCCCACATGATAGATGAAGAGTTTTAAAAATAGATTGAGCTACAATTAACCGTCCCAAGCATGCGCGTTACGATAATGCCAACTTATTTAATTGTTTTTAATATTAAATTTAACTGACTAAATATTTATATAAGCTGACCAATTATCAGCGAATGCTTCTCGATCGCGTATATTGTTTATTTTTTATTTTTTTCGCGAATGAGGTACTAAAATTTCTCAATGACCTTGAAAAACTTTAACCCTTAATAAAAATGTTTCTAACGCTGACCAATTAATAAGATCAACTGACCTTTTATGACCAATTTCTGAACTTTCAGATGGTATAATTGGTCAATCGAAATTCTGCACATGAGGTGCTAACATCGCGGAGCTGACTTCGTGTGGCAAAATTAATACATCATAAGCTCTAATTCAGTAGGCTTTGTTGCAAGAAACTTGTCTAGATCACCACTAGCAAGCAAGAAGTAAATTTATAAGAATAGCACAAACCAATGTTAAACAAATTAGCGATAAAATTCAAAAAGTGGTTCGTGTATAAGTATATATATATATATAACTAGCTGACCAGGCAGACGTTGTTCTACCTTTTCCGACGACCATGTGTCCTAAAAAAAATTAAATTCACAATTTAAAAAAAGTGAAGGTCACTTATCGGTATAAAAACTATCCTATCTCTCAAGTTGGACCAAACGGCACACATTGTGAAACATTTCATTGCAATCAGTTCAGTAGTTTATGAGTACATCGCGGACAAACAATGTGACACGTAATTTTTTTATAAAAATTATATATAATAAAGATAATGTCTAGACTGAATTTAGGTCACGGTAGCCACTTTTAAGCAGTCTAGACATCTGCGCAGGACAGCCTTACTGTGCACGAGTATGTGCGCAATGCGCAAGCACAGATTGCACACTCTATTCCGGCTACTGAGAATTTCTTGACAGAATAATTCAACAACTGATTTTTGGCCCGACCCGCGATCCGAGTCCGGAGCCATATGATCACCAGTAACGCTTCAAACCGAACCTAATATCAGAAACATTAATTACCGTGGCCATTCTGTCTAGTACATGAGATATGAGTTTGCATAAAATCGAAGCCATTACTATAGTGTCAACGAGTGTCGCTAACACTGTAACTAATGTGCACCTAGGGTTACCATATCTCAGGATTTGTCCTGAGATTTCAGGATTTTATACTCTTCTCAGGATTGCGGCTGGATTTTGCATATCTCATGAAATTTCTGGATTTTAGAACTTTCAATATAATACAGCTTACATTTTAAAGATCTCTTTAATAAAAAGTTAAACAAACTAAAAATAATTTCCTTTGGTAATAATTCCACAATTAAAATCAAAAGTTATTTATCCAAGTAGGTACTTAAACAGTTTTATCATACTTAATATGTGAAGATACCTTTTTAAGTAAGGTTTTCTTCTGAAACAGTAAAAAAATCTCAGGATTTTTAAATGGAAATCAGGCTTTTCCGGACTTTTAATTTTTTCATCTGGTAACCCTATGCGCACCGGATCTCGATTGTCTTTGAAACATAGCCCGTCATTTCCGCTGAACCAGCTCTAGTATCCTGCAAATGTTAACTAGATTCGATTTTACTTAGAGTGCCGTGTATTGGCGGCGAATAAGAACCCACTACCCGATATAATCCCGTGGGTGTCGTAAGAGGAAGAAACAGGGGAAAACTGAAACAGGACATAGGCAGCACGAGCGAACTTTAGGCCTAGTCAGTTTGAATAGCCTATCATATAGATGTCATGGGGGTCATGGTTGAATAGGGGCAAAAAGTTCTAATAACACTCCTAGGGAGCCAAAATGGCCAAAAACCAAAAAATTAAAAAATCCTATTTCGGCTATAACTCCTCCTCCTTCGGAGGTTCTTACACA